AGACGGTCCCGATTCCCTCCCCAGCGGCGGTGGTCAGTGGCCGCCCTCGAGCTGCCCTCCTCGACTCTGGCGACCCCTTGGATGAGGCCGCTCCAGCCGAGACCCCCGTCCTCCTCCTGCAGCCCAGGCCCCTGACCTCCCTGACCGATGAGTCAGTCCAGCCATCTGGCCGGAGGCCTTCCTTTGTCCGCTACCTTTCCCAGCCTTTTGCCATTCTCCAGAAGTGGGCAAAGCAGGACTTTCCAAGGCTTCACCTGTTCAAGGAGGACCACCATTCGTTCGTTCCTCTTTTTGGCTGTCTGTCCTCCGCGCCCTCCTCTTCCTGCACTGTCCGGCTCTCACGTCCGTCCACAGTCAGTGGCCAAAACAGCGTCCCTTCCTTCCTTCCTTCCTTCCTTCCTTCCTTCCTTCCTTCCTTCCTTCCTTCCTTCCTCCGGTGTTCAGATGCCTGTCTTTCCACTCCGGGATCTGGTCAGTCCTGCCAAGGCCGGCAAAGGGCAGAGAAGGAGGACAGTCCGGTCAGGAACACGGCCTTTCAAGGCCTCTTTTTAAAAACGATTTAATAAATGGTTAATCTAGCAAAATTAATAGGCATCTTCTTTCTTAAGAACAGTCGCTTGAAATAATAACTAATAATAATAATAATAAATAAATAAATAAATAAATAACCACCTGAAATAAACAGGCGTCTTTATTGTTGTGAAAAAGCGATTAAAATATCTTTTAGAATAAATACATCTCTTCATATTTTAATCGATTGTTCTTTACATTAATTTGTTAAAATTAACGGTCATCAGAATTATATAAATAATCGGCTGAATTATTTACTCTGTTAACACTAAAAAAAAATCCCTTATTTATTTAGAATAATGGTCTGTCTGAATTATTTTCTCCGATGAAGGTAGCAGATCCCTTCCTTCTGTAAAATAACTGGCCGGACCTCCTCTTGCCGGCGCCGAAGACACTTCGGGGAGGGGGGCAGAGGGCAGAGGTCGAGCCCCCCCGCCTGTTTTTGGGAGCCTTTGGGGAGAGAGACTACCTTGTCTGTTCCGGTCGGACGGACAGACAGCCGCTGAACGGTTTTGGCCTCTTTTGCCGCAGCGTCGGGTCAGTGGCTGCGCCTGCTCCCGAGTAGGACCCACGGGCCTCCCTTCCCCCCCTCGGGGCCCTTCGCGGGAGACCCCCACGCAGGCCCTTCCCTCGGGCGCGGGAGGCGAAGGCCCCGATCCGATC